AATAGTTAAGGTTTGCACATTTTAAAAATTGCTTTTCCTTTGAATTTGGAAATACTTCTGTAAAATAATTCATAATTTACAAAAAAAAAACAATTAAGACTGATGAAAATGTCCGTTTTTACAGGTAATTTGTAATTTAAAAGAAAAGCCACATATATCCAAACTGTTCTTAAATCGATTCATATAAATGTTAATAGGAAAATCGTAGTTTTCGAATATACGCATGCGAATAAATTCGACACTCACCGACTTACTCTGAATATATAGAGTATAGACACAATTTATTAATAAATTGGTCATACAACGATGTATCGTTTATTAAACTCCGGATACAGCAAAATGCGAATGAAATAATCGACATACAAATCACATTTCTATATGTAGGTACGTGTATATCTCAAAAGCGCGTTCAATGGTGCCCGTAATGACCTCTCTCCCCTTTTAGTTCCTCCTCCGTTCCGCGCCTAGCTCACTGCGACATTATGCATGAGTTCATGTCTGGTCTTTATAGACTCTCATTATACATTTATTTTCAGACTGCACTTTACAGCGTATTAAACAAAAAATATCTATACTTCGATGGTAACTATCATCGAAGTTTACTAGCGTTAGTAATAGTGTTTTCTCTTTTCGATGTTACGTTTTTTTTTTTTATTCAAATAAATTTTGTGAAAAACGTGGCCGTTTCTCTTACTATGTCTTGTTCACAACGTAATTAAAAAAACTACTTACGAAAATTAAGGAGTAAAAAAGGAAAATATGCCATTTTAATAAAAAATTAAATAAAAGTTATAATTCTATTGAAAATAATTAAATAATAATAATAATTAGATGTTCATATTCACATTGGAAGGCACAAACATAAAGTACAGCACAAAAAGTTTCTCGCATAAACGAAACTCAACGAAACCACTTGGACGTATTTGCTTTTCTTTTGCAATGGGCCACAAAACAACACAACCACGAAACCCTACTGCTGTCCGTCCACTATTATTAAGCTTCATTGACATACAATACATACATAGACTTACAAATGGTGCATCATATCATAAAAAGTTTACATATCTTAACAATTAATTCTTATTAATAATGTTGTTCTAACCGCGTGTGTGTTAATTGAAAAATGTTTTTAATTTAGCATTTTTGTAAAATGTTATCACGTTTAATACATGCTCACAGGTCACTTTAAAGGTAAAGGCTTGAGGTAGTGTATCGAAACGAATTTCAACATAATAACTTAACAGCATTAAAGAAACTGACCGACGACGCTATTAATTTAAGCCACAAAGCACGGTCCTGATCCACCTGCAACAATGGACTTCCTGCATGTCTTACCAGTTCTTCACTCGCTACTTGGGTGCCACGGGGCTCATAGGTTACGGATACTACTACGAACTGACATTACAAAAATAACATTTTTACGAATTTAACAATATTTTTGTCACTGTAATACAATTTTAATTTGCTTAAAATTGAGCAAATTTTTATAATCTTGCAACACCATCGTTGGAGTTGAACGTATTAATTAGCGATAATGCTACCCGCCGGCCACACGCGTACGCCGCTTATAATCGCCATGTACGTTTCCTCATTTAACTAAATATTATTTTATTTATGCGGGGTATTTTTTATTTATGCTCTGAAGGGGTTAAAATAAATAGAAACATATCACGATATTTAAGGCCGGCCACATACATACGGAATTCCGTTTCGGGATTCCGTTTCGATATTCCTATTCGGAATTCCGGACGCAGCAAGTCCATATAAAATATATATCCCATCACACACGTACGGCAGTTTTCAGTTCGAAATTTTGCGGGCAAAACGGGATTCCGTATGTGTGTGGCCGACCCGTTCGGAATTCGGAAGCGGAATTCCGTATGTATGAGGCAGGCCTTAAAGTACGACCACGTATCGGACAGGTTTCTTTTTTACGTATTATATAAATAGGTGCATACAAAACATACAATCATGAAATACTAGTCAGTAGGTACCTTACCGACGACGATAGATTTTACTGAACACTACTTCCGTCCAAAAAAGATCTGAGCTACCTCAAGTCGTATCTATAGAAGTTTTATTTCAAAATTTTATAATATAGCCCTACTCGCTACAAAAAACGTTGCAAAACTGCAGGTTGAATTTTGCACTGAACAATTATTATATTTAACCAAAGTTTATGCCACCAGCCGCCGTTAGTCAATGTGAACCTTTAGTTAATTGTTATAAATTAGCTTTAAATTATAAATTAACTTTTTGACATTAAATTAACATGAATTATAAATAGTGATTTCACTTTTAACATGGTAGTTCTTTTTTGTTTTGTTGCAAACACTATTTCGTGCGAAATTCAAACCCGCAGCCACTCACCGCCACGATCAGGCGCCTAGCCAATACTACGAGCAATTCGTTTCTTAGTCTTTGCATCGATTATAACAGGTCAAAATATTTTTTAAATTCATGAACGTCATAATGATGTGAATAAATTTTGATTTGTTTTTTGAAGAAAACAAATCCAAAATATTTATCGATTTTAATTTTATAAACAAAACCGAAATTGAGTTTTGTTAAATGGACAAGCTAGAAAACGCGGCTTACAAATCACTAGACATTGGTCTCATTTTATTAAACCCACCATTATGACGTAATTTGAAGGTGAAACAAAGGAAATTTGATTTCATGCATTTAAGATAAAGTAATACTTCTTATTCTTAAAATCTTTAAAAAACTAAAATAGTTTATTAATCAATGAACAATGTTGAAACGGTTTCAAAAGCAGCATTGCTTAAAATTTTCTGTACATACTGAATTGCTAAATATGCAATGCCATGAGACATTATATCCTGGCCACAAACCTCCACTAAATTCCTTGATTAATTATTTCGGTTTATGGAATTAGTTTTTTAATCCGGCTTTTAAGCCGTAGTTACCCAGGGGCTAAAGTGCACATATTATATATCACAGTACGAGTTATTTCACAGATTTATGAACCTGTGTACACCACATAAAAACATGTATGTGAAATACCTGTTAGTTTGTTAACTGTAAAAGCGAAGCTTTTAATCACGACATAATATAGATATCAAAATGTCAAGTACACAGGATATTAGTATTTTCGATAAGATCGGACAATGCAGTGTCAGCGACACGCGAACAATAACCAATCATCAATTGAGACCCGAAATCTAATATTGAGTGAGGTGCAATATTTCTATCAATGTTATGCATACCGAGAAACTATATCTCAGCAAACATTAAGCTGTACGATGAGTCTTCCTACGCTTACAGAAAAAAAAATAAGACTAATAAGAATTGATCTTTCTGTTTGTATTTAATTAGCGTAGCAAGAAGCGGGTAAAAATAGCTTATAAACAAAATAGTAGAAACAGTGGAATGATGTATATAACGGTAATAGTAACGAGCTTGCTCTTTCAAACCTCCTTCATATCACTCTTAAACTTTTCCAAAACATTCATCATGCGCTACTACATGCCTTCCTATACCTACTATCTATCTATTAGTTGTATGTTCGAATATGTGTAACTAATTGGTTTCACAGACGGCTATTGTTACGCCCACGGAGGCTAGACATTAAAGACATTAATACTAAACAATTCGCAATGAAACTTTTCGCAAGCGACAAAATAGGTATTTTATTATTTCAAAATACCTAGTATCATAGTCCATTACTTCATACTTTATTATTTATTAATACTGTATGTTGAGACTACGTAAATTGTTACCAGATAAATAGTCAGCTAGTCATTAAAAATACTAAACTAGTTTAGCTGCATCCAATATTTTTTTTATAGTATAAGGGTGATAAACGAGCACACAGTCCACCTGATGGTAAGTGGTTGCTGCGGCCCATAGACATCTACATCTATTCTCGTTTGCGAATCAAAATGCAGATGCGTTGTCACCCGTGAGGACTAAGATGGAATGCCTCATTTCCAGTAAAAAGGGCCTCCGGCCACCTGCACTCACCAAGCGAAACGCAGAGGCAAACTTCTACTTCACGCTGGTATTCTGTGAGGTCGTGGTACCACCCCGGTTCGAGCCGGCCCATCCGTGCGACAGCAAAAGCTGCCGCGTGGCTCTACCACTGTTTAAATATAACAACCTTTATAAAACACATATTTTAAATTTAACAACTTTTATAAAACACAAGAAGTGGAGGCTCATATAAACACTGTTATAACCTAAAGTCCACAGCTGCCTTTTTTTGTAGAATAAGGGCGACAAACGAGCACATAGTGAACCTAATGGTAAGTGAAAGATATCGCCCATAGACATCTACATTTTTATCCTTAATTAAAAATCATAACGCCTTTGCTATGACCCTTATATGGGCTGACCCCTGGGGACTAAGATGGAATGCCTCGTTTCCTGTAAAAAAAGTCTCCGGTTCTCTACACTCACCATACGAAACACAGCAGCTTTTTTACGCTGGTATTCTGTAATAGCGTAGTCCTGTCCCGATCGAGCCGGCCTATTCATGCTACAACCATAACATGGCTGCAGTGTGGCATTACCACGAAAAAAGAAGAAGAAGAAGAAGCCATATTCTACTTCCCCCCCCCCCCCCCGTTGCCTCTTACGACACCCACGGGACGATATGCGGTAGTGGATCTTCTTACACCACCACTATATGGATATATACTTATATTTATGTATAAATATATCGCACAGCCATGTTTAATATGAACAACTGAATAATTTATATTATTTTGTGTATTGACTGAGATAACTTTAATTAAAGTTCAATACATAACATAACATTCAAAAATCAAAGCATAAAAACAATATTAAGTAATCGCATTGCGCAAAAAAGATAAAAAGACATCATAAAAAATATAAAATCACAAAACCAATGTTGTTGGCGCAAAACGGCAAATTTTATGATTAAACAAAACAATAAATAAATATAAATTTCTGTGGCGAAAAAACTGAAAAGTTATTGTTTGAGTATTCATCTACTAGTTGGATTTTTAACAAACCTGAAATGGAAGAAAACTTCTTTGGTGTGATCAGCAGTCTCAATAAAGCCAAAGCCATCTTTCAGTGCAGCTATGAAACCCTGCATAATGGGACGGATGTTGGAGTTCCCATTAATGGAATTTCCATTTGTCAGGCTGTGTTGAACTTGTACTGACATTGCTATGAGTTCTTTAGTCCGCTTCACCTGGGGTAAGTTTAGTATGCTAATAGTTGTAGGTCTAGGACACCTAGTTCCGAATTTAGAAACAGGTAAGCTACTTGTTTGTAAATTTAGAACCTGGTCTATTAATTAAAAATGTTCTATTAACAAACTTTATCAAAATTTAATATTATATAATATACAACTTTTACTTGGCAACACCTGCCTTTAAAGAATTCTAAAACTCTTGTTTAGTTAGGCCAAGATACAGTAATTTTCTACAAATTATATCATTCAGGTGGTTGTAGAAAAATGTCTCCTAATAAAGGGCGTGTCAGTGACGAAAACATTTATTATTCCCAATTTATATTAAATAATATGTTTGTGATAATTTTAATAAGAGTTACTCACTTGATATAGGTCAAACATCACTTTATCCCCCACACGTGGCAACATCTTTGATTCACATTTTTTTGCAGTAAATGGGATTGATTTTTTGGCACCACTTATTTGGGCAGTAATCAGGCCATTGTAATCCTGTTTTGTATGCAATAGATGTTATTAAAAAAAAATCTTGAAGAATAAACAATGATGTTAAAAGAATATACAGAAAATACATACAGCTGGTGGCTTTCTAGATGGGCTAGAAGATGAGGAAAACTGCTGTGCTTCCTTAGAGACAACACCACGCACACCGCGTTCTACTACAGTCTCAAACTGAACAGTGCCAGGTGGCAAATGCTTAATACGTATTGCCGACTGACGATTGTTCATATTAGAGAAGGTTGTCACAGGGTCAACAGTAAACTCCACCTGTACATAGATATAATAAAATATGAGTTTCAAATAAAACTAAATTTAAGATTTTCTATCTACAAACAATATATTTTAGTGATGATTATATAAATTCCTTGCACGTATATTTTTACACCATAACAACATTAACCTTTAGTGTAACCAGATAAATCATGCAAAATGTATTATATAAAATTAAATTACAAAATAAAACAATGGGTAGATTATTTTCTAACCTCATCTCCGACACTCAATTCATGTCCAAGACGGAGAACTTCAGCAAAGTGGAAAAACATGGTCTGTTCTCTGTCAACACAGCGGATGAAACCAAAGCCTTCCCTCAGAGTGCACACTACACCTTGTTCTCGCCTATTATCAAAAAGTTAAATCAAATCAGGTAAAAATGTTAAGTACACAATTGATAGGGTCATTCTTACCGTTCACCAGAAACATTGAAAGATTCCTCAAGTAATGTAATATTAGTAGCACGTTTAAGCTGGTCCCTTCTGTCTGTTGCTACCTGGAATTGAACCCAATCTCCATGACGCAAAGTGAATTCTCCACCTTGATCTTTGTCTCCAAAAGGCACCTGTTACAAAAAAAAAGATATCATGTTTTAAAGTTGGTAAAAATTATCCCGCGTACATCCACTCGATAAAATAAAATGATGTGTCTTACCTAGTTTGAAGAGCACCTCCCGCCCTCCATCAATTGCGTGCACTAGTGGTGACGGAGATAGTGCACACAATTGAGGGAGAGCGGGAGGTGCCCTTCAACATCATTTTATTTTATCGATCGGATGTACGCAAGGCAATTTTTACCAACTTTAATATAATGGATTTCCGCAAAGTTCTATCAAATAGAATCAGGCGTTACTTTTAAATCCAATTGATTAGATAGAATGTTAACAAAAAGCACAAAATTTAAGAAAAATATTTCACACGTATAAAGTACCTCAACTTCCGAATGATCAGCAGCACGGTATCGTATCCTTCCTGGGAGGGGATCGTTCTGTGGTACACGAACCATATTTCCTCGCTCAAGAGGCTTCAACACTTGGCCCCTCATTATTTCAGGACTTACATCCTCAAATACAACTGAACCACTTGGTAATTTAGTGATATTACATGCCACTTCTTTACCCTGAATTGAAAATAGAATAACATTAACCATATTCAATAATAAGTCACTATTTCTTATTCTCTCATAAAATTACTTTGAGGAAAATACAATCAAAAACAACCTCTTGGCCACTTACATTTCTTGTCTGAATAATAAATTCAACATCATCTCCTAACGCCAAGTCTTCTTTGGTCTTTGCCTCTGAATAATGAAAGAAAATTTCCTTAACAACATCAGCCCTTTCAATAAATCCAAAATTTTCCTTCATTGAACACACCACACCATGATATTTTACTGGGTGTGCAGGATTTTCAAAACGAACATGGCAAGCACCTAATGTTCCTCTAAAAAAAATTGCCACCAAAATAAAGATTCACAAATGATTTCTGTAATTTTTAAGCAGTTAATAGGAACAAAAAATAATTACCTTTGATTAGTTGCAATTTGAAAACTTACTGCATCGCCAGTACGTAAAGTAACATTGCCTTCAACATCATCTTTCGTATAAGGCAAGAAAAAGCATTCACCTCTATTCTCATAAGAAATACGTCCTGTATTATCTCCAGATCCTTCACCTTTTACTTCAGTAGTCACAGTGCCTGTTACTCTAGCTTCACTTAGTACCTAATTTTTCAACAATATAAAAATAAATTGAATATGCAAACAAACAAAAACAAATATAATAATGATTTTTAAATCTTACCACTTCTGGTGCAATCTTAGTAACAGTAGAGGCAATTGGTTTTCCAGTGCGTCGATCATAGCTCATAACAAATTCAACTGGATCACCAATCTTCAGGTGTTCAATATTACCACTGAACTGGCTAAAGTGAAAGAACAAACGAGCTTGCCTTTCACAGCATTGAATAAATCCATAGGAGTGCTAAAATTGACCAATATATCTTTACATACTATTTCTTATTAGAAATCATTATTATTAAAATGAAGGAAATTAAACTCTTATTATTCAAAAGGTACTGTGCCATAAATGTGCAACAAAATCACAATTCTGGGTAAATTATGATTTTATGACATTACACTATTTTCATTTTAATATATGCTATTTTGGTGTAAATTAATAAATAACAAAATATAATGCTACATCATCACAAATAACTCATTTCTAATCTTTCATAACAGTAGTTATTATAGTATATGACATGATAGGAGTTATATAGATTATGTAATCACAATTTATCCATTTAAAAGGAGGGGTCAGTTCAACTGGGGAAGGCACACACTCTCACACAGAATACCAGTATAAATTAGCAGCTTACTACTGTGTTCCTGTGTTTGCTGTGTGTAAAGAGAGAATGAGATCCTCTTTAATGGTAACAAGGTATTCTATCTTACTCCTCTGGGTGAAAACACATCTACACTTTGATTCATAATGGGGCGTAGATGTCAATGTCTATGGGTTACAGCATCCACTTACCATCAGGTAGACTGTATGCTTGTTTGTCAATAATTATAAGTTTAAATTAACAAATAAGAAAAAATACACACTGCCTCAAACAACACATATCACAGTCAGTGCAGGAAACCTGTAGATGGATACAATGAAGAATGATATTCATAATAAGTGAAATATTGGAAACCAGACGATAAAGTAATAAGCCATTTAAGCTAAACAGAAATAATGAGTTTTATATTAGAGTCCAAGACCTTTGTTAGCTAGGTCACTATTGTGTATTTAAATTATTACTATCTTTTAAGCTCTTCCAAATCATTAGTAATCATCATACTAAGGACATTAATTTCATTGCCAGCCCCAATGCTAAAATAATAATTAGTTAAAGGTAGATTCTTACTGTAATAATGTCATGTTACTATAGTAATGTCATTGCAGCCCCCCCCCCCCCCCCCCTAAATCCACTCCTGAACAAAATACTGCTCCCATGAATGCCACAAAACACGGTCCAAAGCTACCTGTATCTTGCATGTCTTACTAAGTTGTAACTCAAACAACTCTTGAAAACAGCTTGTAGATATGGCTTAAATGGGAAATCAGTCTAAGGCCGGCCACATACATACGGAATTCCGTTTCGAGATTCCGTTTCGATATTCCGATTCGGAATCCCGAACGCAGCAAGTCCATATAAAATCTATGACCCGCCACACACGTACGGTAGTTTTCCGTTCGATATTTTGCGGGCAAAACGGGATTCCGTTTGTGTGTGGCCGACCGTTCGAAATTCCGAAACGGAATCTCTAAACGGAATTCCGTATGTATATGGCGGGCCTAATAATGTAATAAGATGCACCTAGTAAGCAAATTAAAATTAAAAGGAGGCTAAAAGGGACTTACCAGTAGTTTTTCAATTATTCCAGTTTCCCTTATAGTTGGGCAGTTCATGGAATCATACTGGGAGGTGGAGTTGTTAGTAGAGCTTGAGGAGTAGGCACTGACAGAATCACCCATTGGGCATCCATCTAAGTTATAATTACCAAGAGGATATCGATTCCCTCCCCCTGACTTGTTCATATTATTAAAATTATCTCTAGGAGAGCTTGGGTACTCACTGCTGTAAGTACCTTTAAATACAAATACATTGATATTAATAATGGTGCCTAAAAGATTGTTAAAACAATCCATTTACATATCTTATTATCTTTTTAAATATGTATTAAGTATAGTGTAGTTTGGTATTGACAAATTAAAAAGTTCATAAATTGAAAGGGAGATTTATTTACCTGTTCGATAAACTTGCTTGTTTTGCATATTGGGCTGCTGGAGATCTAAAATATCCTGTAAAGGAGTAGAGTGTGAATCTGGCGGCTGGAACATTTTCCACTGAGGATTGCTGGACATTATTTCTTGTTTATATTCCTTGTATACAGTTCAAAAATCTCAGTATTTATGTACCAATATATCACAGAAAATTATGACGAACGTAATTGTGTGGTGTTAATCCTAAATAGCAGTATATAAGTTCATTAAAATCAAATCACATTTTCTTATCCTCTTAGTTTCAAACACCATGCAGTTCTAAATAGTTACACTTTAAACACCAAACACACTGGACAGTAAAATTAGTTCTGAATTTGTTACACTAGATCCTCAGATGTCTTCAATGCTTGCTGAATCGGAGAACTGTGGTACATTGGCTTATTTCTTTGAAGCAGGTTCAATTTTGTTATCTTGACTACCTAATTATTCAAAAAAGATATTCTCAATTGAAAGTATAATTTGATACATATTCCTATAAGAAAATGTTCATAACTTTTACATTAAAATTTTAATAATGGTAAAATATAAATGTTTTTTTTTAAGTAAGAAAGCATTTTTTATTATTTTTATGCAAAAGCAGGGCAAACTATACAAAGAAAATTGTCTTAAAAAATTTACACGCAAGAATTCTGGTGGATCAATATTTGTAAGCCGGTTCCCTTGATTGCTGTTTTATCTATCTAAGGTCTGTGAGAATATGTGGAAATCGAGAAAAATATCGAACCGTACGAAACCGCCATCACAAACCGTGCGATACTAGCGTACATACGGCTACAAATCAACTGCAAAAATAGTACATAACGAAGATTTACAACAAAGCGACGCATCGAAATATTGTTCAGTTGTTCTACATTTTATACTATATAGGTAGGTATCGGCCGTCTGATCGCGCTGTCGATGTGCAGAAATTAATAATACGATGTTCGCCAATGCTCTACCCCTTAAAACTATATTCTTATGCATAATTTGTAAACCGCATTATATCTAAATCACTGAACATTCGTTTTTGAATAATTTTAATTAAAAATGCGTAGATAAGGACCTACACAGAACTATTAAATTATCAAATCTCACCACGACACAACACAGCACTGACGACATACCGCCATATTGAATGTCAACATAATCGCGACTTTGATCGAGCCATACGAACTGTTTTTAATTTTGTTATGTACATATAATTTTTTATATCAATAAAACTGAACTGTTAATTAAATATTGCACTAGGAATTATAACTTAGATAATTTATAGAAAGTTTGTAATTGTTTTTATCTAAAATCGCGAACTAATCATAGATTTGTTTTTCTCTATTTTAAAATTGTTGAAATGCAATTAAAAATTTAAAGGTGGCCATTACTTTTACAAAACATAATAACCGATTTATATCAAATAAATTCTGTGTTTTACAAAAATAATTAAATATAATTTATCTGATTATTCAAATACCTACAAATCTATCATCATCATTACAGTTATTCACGAATCTACTGTTGTATAATGATTCATTACAACAGCACTTTTCAATGTACCTAATTAATCTTACAAATTAAATTTAAAAAGTAATTAACGTTAGTTGCTTTAATTAAGCAGGTTCTCGTGCATTATGATAAATTTTCGAAATAGCACAATCTAGGACGATTATTAATAACAATACAATTATTAGGCCACGGACCCCAAATATATTAATTCAATTTAAATTCAGATAGCCTAAACCTGAGATAAGTACGAAGGAAATTTAATTTCCTTTCATTTTATGATTCTATATATGGACATTAATTAAGATTAGATCAATTCAGTTAATAAATCAATCATTATTAAAATTAAAGTACCTACTCAAAAATATTTTACTCACACAAAGGCATTATTAATTTTATTTAATTTTATTTAGGTTTTTAAATCATGATAAATAGCATTAATCCGGTATATAATTACTTTATACTAACTCTTTTACTTGATCTTGTAACTTGTAACTTTATCGTGTTACAAGTTAAAAGATCAAGTTTAAACAACTTTGCAGATACAATATTGAAATCTACTATTTTGGTAGAAAATTTTAAAATAAAATAATGGCAATATCTAGCTACACACGTCTTCAAATAAAGATGCGTTCGTTTCGTTCGCTTTCTAAGTTTGCGAAAAATAAGTCTGCAGACGCCCGAAATCAAAAAGGTTTTCCATCTTTTAGATATCATGTCAAGGGATTATGTTATTATGTCAAGGGTATTACATCTCTTTAATAGTGTTTAAATTCGTCATGATCATACCGAAATTAAATTAAAAGTCTTGGCCTCAGATTAATTACTACCAAAAGAGAATCCTAAACATAGATCAAACAACAAAATTCTAAAAGAAGAACTTTATATGCATATGGCGTTTTATGTTGTACAAAATAATATTACTGTAGGTATATATTATTCTCATCTTCTTGTACAAGGTTGTTGTTGCCTTTTGAGTATGGAGTGTAGAGTAGAAGGAGGACCATCTCTGTATAATATGAAAAGTGTCCCTAAAAACGCGTCCAATAAGAGTGGCGCTGCAGTAGCACAGGATAAATTTAAAAAGAAGCGCCAAAATTAATTAGAATAAGATGGAGAAACAAACAAGGACCGACCAATCCGCTTGGTTTTGTACTACGTAAATAGTTGAGGTTTTGTATACTGGCATTTTACTAACTACTCTAGTCATGAAATGTTTTAAATATTTGAATTCAGATGACTTCACTACGTTCACAATAGACATCTTCATATCGTAGTTTTTCAGACGCCAGCGCTATTGTGGTAGGTTTTGGAACCTCTATTTTCAGTAAATAGTAGGAAACTTTTTCAACTTTCGCCCCTTATAAGATGGTTCTCCTTGTACTCTACACTCCATACTTTTGAGCCTTTTGTTCATTCCATAGACACTTCGATTCGATTGGTGTGGTGTGCCATTATTATTAGCGAAAAAAATCGTTGTCAATAAATTATTCATTTAGTCTATGACAAAGTAAAATAAAGGATTTTGATTTGGAGCAATGTGAAGCTGTAAAAGAGGATGTGATTTATGTGCCTGAAGTTAACAAATTGGTTTATATTTAAAAAATTGGCTATATTTTTCTAAAATAAAATACAAATAAAACTAGCTCTTATTACAATTTAGAATTAGAAAAACAATAAAATAAGAAATATGTTAACAAATCCATTGTACAATTGATTTTTATTGATTCGGATCGAATACGGAAAGGAAGAAGGAAACGAGCTCAATATAATCGATTCTTATTAATATAATCGAGACCAAATTGCACAGAGTATGCAAAATTTCATTGAAATCAATTCAGTAGTTTAGGACATAGATTAATGATTAGTCATCGCGCGCTCTGAATAGATACCGCCGGCGCTCATGTAAAATACGGCAACAAATACTACGCCGAAATCGGCGTACCCGAGCCAGTCGCGTTGCAGGCAACGTGTGAGGTGAACGTACCGAATGTTTTATTAAATTTTGATCATAATCCGAAGTAAAATACTTGTTTACGTATTGAAACTGTGTAAAAATAATACTATAAGAAATAAGAAAGACACTGGAATCACATACTATCATTAAGTATCATACAATTTCGAAATTTTAACATAAAATAACACGAGCCATAAATAAGTCACAAAATATCAATGACGCTATTCACTGTTGCCGCGAATGCAAAAATAAAATTCCCCGTGACTGAGATTTTTATATGTGAATTTATTGTTACTATATTTTATAATATAATATATTTAACTTATTATAATATAACCCAATTCTATATTATTTAATGTTTATTTCTGTAATATTGCTCAAATGACATAATTGCCGTTTATTAGGGTTCCGTACCCAAAGATTATCAACGGGACCCAAGTCTCCACTATCGTTACGTCTGTCTGTCAGTAGGCTATATCTTATGAACCTTAATATGTAGAATTTTCACAGAATGTGTATTTATAATAGAATTATTACGCATAGAAACGCAGTCTAGTGGCGCCTCTTCACGTTGGCCAACACAGTGGCGAATGTGCTGGCAGAGTTATTGGCCAAGAAATTGTGATCGCGTCCACACGTTGGAAGGTCGTTCAGTTTGCTTCGGTTCAGGCCAATGTGCGGACGAATTTATTAAAATGATTATTGATGCGCTAACGGCTGCTGCGGTTTATTTATTCACAGCATACCACTATTTTTTTATTTAATTTTCACTATTTTTAATATTTAATATTTTTAATATAAATTTTTAATATTTCTTTATTATATGAAACAGATAAGTAAACTATATAAACATTAACACACCTAGGCATAGGTATAATTAACTAAGGCCTGGAAAATATTCGAAGCCTGTCTATGAAACTGTTGTAAAATTTTTATTAAACAAAACCTTTTTAAAAAGGGTTATTATATAATTATAGAATATATTTATTTATTTACACTTTCATACACAAAGTAGTACATATGGCGAACTTAATAATAATAATAAATAATTTATTTCGTCAAACATTAAAGTTACATTATATGATCAGTGATCGAGGTCACCTAGTAAGCAAAATAATGCCTGTAACAGGTGACTTCGCTCTTCCATAGCTAAAAATTACAGTATTATTAACGAAATAAAGTAACTAATAGGGAATAATAAAGACAGTTAAAATATGATTTTAGTATCCTACTTTTAATTTGATTTTAATATATATTATATATTATAAATTTTAAGATATTTAATAAATCAATTAATACATCAATAAATAAATTAATACACAATTAATCACTACAACGTGAATGTGTATAAGATAAGGGTGATCAAAAAGAAATGGAAAAAAGAAATTTTATTTCTTGACGGCTCCGTGGCGTAGTGGCTAGTAGCAATGAGTTGCTGCCCTGGGGGCCGCGGGTTCGAATCCCGCACGGAACAAGTATTTGTATAGCCTGCACATAATTTCTCCGGGTCTGGATGTTTGTTCTTATGCAATTTATGTTTCTAAACTGCCTCCACGATACAGGAGAAAATCCTAGTGTATAATAATATTTTTTTTTAAAAAGACTTGTGTTTTACAATTTTCGGCTTGGTAGGGCTCTATAAAGCGAA